GCTCTCTTAAACCTACTCAGTGGGGAGAATAAGCGTTCCTCAGCCACTGGGTGAAATTTCAGGTCATCCCGTGGTCTGATAATTATCATAAGTCTCAAATGTATAATCTCCATTCAGAAATTAAAATATCCAGTCAAATACATTAATCAGAAGCCTTGCTTCCATTCAAGGATAAGACTCCCCTTCCACCTGGTTCACCCCAATATCTAGAGTCTGTGGTCCACAGGTAACCTGTCCCAGAAAGGCTCACTTCTCACTCTCTCATTGGTCACCTTCTCTACTGGCTACTTGTTATTTTTGATCCTGCTTCCCTTTCAGATGAAGGTGGAAGAGGAAAGAGAGGTGAGGGGGGTAAGAAAGTCCTTACTTAGCTGGTACTGTTGCAAAATAGCTTTGTTCCCGCTGGGTCCAAAAGACAAACCCTGCGAACTATACTTTTCAGAAGGTCATCTCCAAAATGCACCTAATGCCGTAACTGAGCCTGTCTACTGCCACCTCAGGTACACAGGACACAGATTAATCCAAGCCCATGGATAGAATTCTGTACCTGTTCCTACTCCACACATGATGCGCACACACACACACACACACACACACACACACACACACAGACACACACACACACACACAACCAGGTTGTCCCATGGGTAGGTGGCAAAAGAGCTTGAGACCAGCTCTTTCTCCCCTGTGCCCACATCTGATCCAGAGGACACTCATGTATCTTTTGCCCCTGATACATCAGCTGTGTACAGGAAGGTGAAGTCACTCCCCTTTCATGCTGGAGTTCTCTGGAGGGAGTCAGTCATCAACTCACAACTTATCCACAACTCCTAGGGACACACATCAAGCTTTCTGCATGGTCTCACGGAAGCCCCCTCTCACTTAGCTTGAAATGAGGGGTAGACACCCCTAATCCCCTTCTTAGAGAGGGACTCACAGCCTTTCAACAGCTCTCCAGAATCGCCCTAGTGTAATTCTCTCTCTCAGTTTGCTCGTGGTCATTTTAAATTCCACTGTAGAGAAAAAAGGCTTTTTAAATTAATAAAACTGATTCTCAGATAATTCTTCTGAAATTCTTCTATGTTGATGTCTGACATCTGCTGAATCTTAACCTCATTAGTCGAAATTTCCAACAAACTAATCTTCAGTTGTTTCTATCCATCATGATGTCATTTTCAGGATTATTCTTGAGAGATGCACTTCTTTGAATAAAGCATGAAAAAGTCCTGAAATCACTCCTCTAGAAAAATACCAGCATCATACAAAATACTGCAATTAGCTCGGGCTCCCAGTTTAGGCTCAACCTCAGCAAAATTCTAGAGAGATGCCAACACCTGCAGGCATCTGGGTCACTCCACTCTTCAGTAGGCCAGCCCCACCAGCCAGCGTGAAATGATGCTGTGTCACCTCTAGCTTGCCCTTTTCCATCCTGCAGTGTGACTGTTTCCTGCCATTTCCCCACCAGACCAAGAATTCCTGAGAACCCACATTGAGTGTTTTACTCATCTTGACATCTCCAAAGCTTCATCACATAGAGGGCTCTCCATAAATGTTAACTGAGTGGAATAAAAATACCTTTTTCTTTCCAGACTCACCTCTGACCAGTCATCTCAGCCACAGTGAAAGAGAAAGGACTGCTAGCAGCTTACATGCAGATATGAGATATGAGACTATATCAAAATGTTAGGAAAAGGCATAGTGTTGATAGTGGAATCAGAGTCAGCCTTTCTTGTCCTCCAAATTCATACCATGAGTCGGCACACCAGCAAAGAAGGATCCCCACGCCTCTTACGTTTTATTGTAAATGTCCAGGTCCGTCCGGGTGCACCCCTGGAACACATTTATCACGTGACTTGCCCAGAGACGACCGGTCTGAGGCACAGATTCCTTGTTTGCTGGCTGCCTATTCTTTTTTTTTTTTTTTTTTGGTAAAGAATGCAACCTTCAGGCTGTTTCACATAGGCTGTTGGGCTTTGCAGAGACAAGACAAAGCAAGTGGGATAAGGAAGGCTATTGTTCTCCTATGAAAGTAAGCCACAGACTGCTCAGATCTGAAGAAGCTCCAGAACAGGGCATGCATCTGCACCTGTGAATGCAGGTTTTCTTCTCCTGAGAATCACATTGCTTTACTGCACTGTCCCCTTGCCCTGTGCTCTCTCAGCATTTTGCTCACCCCTCAAGCAAAGAATTTATCGTGCTTTGTTATGGGTAGTTCACAGATGCCTGTCCCTTTGAGACTCAGAGCTTTTGGGGGCCCGAGGAGTTTTGTCCTATTTGTCTCAGAAAGCTGAGTACTTAAAACACGTAATTTTTGTTGAAAGGGTGGACATTAATGTTTGTTGGATGGATGGATAGATGGATGGATGGGTGGACAGGTGGCTGGCTGGCTGGATTTATCTCTTACACAGTTGCTATGTGGACATTAGAACCACGCAGTGTCTCTGGCTTCCCTCGCCAGGCAGTGATGAGGAAGGATCTGGAAATAATACTATTCTTCATCAACAGCAGCTGCATCTCACAATGGTACAATATTCTGAAATGTGCATGTGTTCAGGTGAGTAATTTTTATGTTGAATTTCCCTTAAGATTATGATGTAAACTATGTATCCGAAGTCCACATTCTTTTTATCACAACATTCATTCATTCATCCATTCATTAATTGTCACTCGGTCTGTTATTCTTTCAGTTAGTGTTTAGAGGAAGTGTGTGGCTTAGCTCCTGGAACACAAAGTATCTACAGGAATGAATAGTGACCACAATCACGTGGGTCTGCGTGTGAAGAACAAATCCCTCTGGAACAGACCAGCTTTAAGCCATCCCAGGCTGCAAAGACAGTGCTTGAATGTTCACACCTCTTTGTTCTGGGCACGGCATGGTCCCTGTGACTCTTCACAAAAGGACATGCCATATAAGTCATGCTGTGAGCAGTCCATTCTGCCCCTCTGACCCTAAAAGGCAAGCTACGTGGGAAAGCACTTCCTCCTAAGCTGGTTAAAGGCTAGGAGGCAGGGGCAGGTAGGGTTTCCTTTTGGGGAAGGAGCACCTGGGAGAGACAGAAGGGCAAAGGCAGTCTTGGTGGAGAAACAAGATTTACCTCCTGGGCGCAGTGAAAGGAGTGTCTTTGTACTGCTTGGTCCCAAGAACAACTCACCCCTTGCGATCAAACCTGCCAGCTGCTCCTGGAGGACTGGGGGGAGGCTGTCATCTCCCCAGACAAGGCAGCCAGTGCCCAAGGCAGTGCAGTCACTGAAGGGGAAGAGAACAGCCACCTTTCCCCCCTTTCACCTTGACAGCCTCCTGGTACAGGGGCATCCCTGCCTCTTCAGAGATGCACGCCATCCCACCATCTGGCTGTAAATTCAGGCAATTCTGTGTTCATCTCGCTTTGTCCACACCCCAGATCCTTTGCCTAGTTTGGAGCAATTTGTTTCCAACCTACATGTTTAGCTTCATCCATTGCCATGACCTGCAGCTAATGACCCTTTGATGTAATCACAGCAGGCCCCTTAGCTCCGGGCCTTCTCTCACATAGGTCCCTCTGCCTGGGATTCTCTTTGCACTTCCTTCTCTTGGAAAACTCCTGCACAGTTGTCAACTCTGCTACAAACACTTCCCAGTGTACCGAGGAATAGAGTCACTTTTATAAACTTTTCAAAAAAAAAAATCCTCTGCTCTTCACTTTTATGATTTGATTGCTATTGCTATTGCACACATCTTGAGGGCTTAAATCATCTTTGCATACTGCTTCAAGTGCCGCCTCCTCCAGGATGTCTTCCTGGTGTCCTTGCTTTTTATCCTGGGTCTGAGGCCAGCATAGCTGCCCTCCTTCATGCTCCCATAATGCTACCCCGGTAGCTCTCAAATGTTAGTGTGTTTCAGAATAACCCGGAAGACTTGTAAAAATGCAATTTTCTGGTCCCCATGCCCAGAGTTACTCGTTTAGTAGGTCTTATGTGGGACCCAAGAATTTTCATTCTATTACATTCCCAGTGATACTGATGCTGCTGGGCCAGGGATCACACTTTGAGAACTACTCGCCTACACTGACCTCAACCATAAGTCTTTCATCGAACTTAGAGCATGTTATAAATTACTTGTTTGTAATTCCATCTCCTCCACTCAGTTAATCAGGCAGTATAAGATAATGAAAAGCATCACAAAGAAAGTAAATCACAATGTGTTAGTTAGCTATTGTTGTGTAACAAATTACCCCAAAACTTAGCTTAAGACAACAAATGTTAGCTCATAGTTTCTGCAGGTCAGGAATCTGGGAACAGCTTAGTTAAATGGTTCTGGCTCACAGACTCTCTCGTGAAATTAGAGTCAATCAGTCAGCTGGGGCTGCAGCCTCATCAGAAAACTCAGCTGGGGGAGGAACCTGTTCTAAGCTCATGCACATGGTTGGTGGTAGGTCTTACTTCCTCACTGGTCGCTCTTCAGTTCCTCTCCACATAGACCACTCCATAGGATGCATTGATGTCCTCAAAACATGACAGCTGGCTTTCCCCAGAGCAAATGATCCCAAAGAGATAGCACATACCCAAGATGGAAGCCATGGTCTTTTATAACCCAACCCTAGAAGTGATATACCATCAATTTTGACATATGCAATCAGTCACACAGACAAACGCTAGCTCAGTGCGAGATGGGTCAACAACGTGGGTGTGTCACCCAGAGGTTAGGTTCATTGAACGCTGGCTACCACACAGGACAGTGATAGGGAAAGGAGGTAATCCTGTTTATGCAGGATGTCTAGGGAAGACCTTTCCGAGGAGCTGCTGTGAAAACTGAGACCTAGATGAAGATAAACAGTCGCCGTTGTAAAGACATAGGGGTCTGCTTTTCCAGACAGAGGAAAAGCAAAAGCCCTGAGGCAGAAATGAGCTCGGCGTATTTGAAAAAGGAAAGTAAGCTAGTGTGGTTGTAGCAGAACCAGCAAGTAGTCAGAAGGGTCGCCATCATTACTAACAGCATCAGAAACAGTTTTTAAAATACCTACTGTGCTCAGGGTCTTTTTGGCAATGAAGAAAATGCATTGTTCCAAATTTCAAAGAACTGGTCTTTCCATTGAAGAGCACTCCATGTTTTTCAATTAGTGGAACAGGAAAAAAATTTAGATAATTCATGATCAATACATCCTCATGTCCACACCCACCGTTTCCTCCTGTATGATTTCCAATTCTGTCTAATCAACCTAGGAGCAAGAGTTTGAGAAACAAAAACAATTAATTGAGTGAAGCTAAGTCCACGATCTATATTCATCAAATTCAATGAGGACCTTTGCAGTATTGGAGAGTATACAACCTAGAACCAACTGAAGCTGGAAGAGACCTCAGAGGTCCTTCCAGTGTTCCCTCTTCAACTCTGACTTGATTTTTAAGAAAAAGGAAACTGAACCCAGTGAGCTCAGAAACCCATCCTCCATCCACTAAGTGGATTAATCACTTGCACGTACTCAGAGTATGAGAAGAATGACTAAAATCTGGTCTCAGGATTTCTAAATCAGCCTGATTTCTGTAACCATAGGTGATCCAGAGGTTGCCTTAGGTGTGGGAGGGAGCAGAGAAAGAGGAAGGAAGAGAAGCAGCCTCCAGGCCCAACTTTTCTTTACCAGAGCAGGGATGCTTTCATTTACTACATACGTAGGATTTTTTTTTTTTTTTTTTTTTTTTTTTGCTGTACGCGGGCCTCTCACTGTTGTGGCCTCTCCCGTCGCGGAGCACAGGCTCCGGACGCGCAGGCTCAGCGGCCATGGCTCACGGGCCCAGCCGCTCCACAGCATGTGGGATCTTCCCGGACCGGGGCACGAACCCGCGTCCCCTGCATCGGCAGGCGGACTCTCAACCTCTGCGCCACCAGGGAAGCCCTATACGTAGGATTTTTAAATAGGTCTCCTGCTAAAAGAAGTTTGAAAACTACTTCACAACACCATGCTCTCTTCTCTGATACTACAGCCCAGAGATCAGCCTCTCCACCCCATGGGCCCAGTGCAATCCACTGCCTGTGTTTGTATGATGTGTGAGCCAAGAGTGGTTTTTCCATTTGCATATGGTGAAAGTCAAAAAATCAAAGGAAAAATAATATATTGCCACACAAAAAAATCAGATGAAATACAAATCTCGGTGTCCATAAATAAGGTTAGAACAGGCCACACCCTCTTTTAAGAATGGTCTGCGGCGGCGTTGTTGCTACAATGGCAGAGCTGAGTAGCTGTGACAGACTGTGTGGCCAAAAGCCTAAAATATTTACAATCTGGCCCTTTGCAGAAATGTCTGCTGACCCTTGTATATCCAAGAGTCCGATGTATGCCTTCATTCTTCCTTCACGTCTTCCTTCTCTTCTCTGTCCCCGTTCTCCTTCCCAGCAAAACTTTACTATAGGTTTGTATTTAGAATACAGTTAACTGAGACCACAGGTTTGCTTTTCCATGCTAGTGTATTTTGGTTTGTGACTTAATACTATGGTGTCAGTTTCCCAATTCACCCAAACTCCTATCTGCTTTTCTAACAGCATCCTATAGTCAGTGCAGCAGAAGGAACTTGAGTGAATACCTTACCACTCCCAAAGGTAGCATATGCTAGATGATAAGCATTGCACTTTTCCTGTCCCTTTGGGCCATGAAAGTCTGGGTTACAGGAGGAGCAGAGTTAAAGTACATAGACAACTCCACTGCCTCACAGCTACTTGAGGTCCCAAACAGCTTGCTAGAAGGGCAGAAAGAGGAGGAGGAGATGATGCTTGTTCTCTTTGGTGCTGCTGTGGATTGCTAGAAAGGATTCATTGCTAGAGGTCACCTGGACAGAAGCATCAACCAGTGTCTCTTACATGCATCAGGAGTAAGAGACAGGAAGATGCATTTTAAAGGTGTTTGTTCTCACTGCTAACCGAAGGTATGCAGATTAAGACTATATTAAGGTATCAATTTTAACCCCCTAAAATAATTTTAGAGAAAATTTAAAATTATAAAGCCCAGTGCTTGTAGGATTATAGGGTAAAAGGAACACAAATATATTGAAAAAATAATTTCAGAGATCAAATCAGTAAAATAAATTGAGTCAATATAGTCATGCCTTTGACCAAGGAATTTCCCTGGCAACTTGCACCAAGGCACAGATTCAAATAAAAAAAAGGAAAAAAACAAAAAACAAAAAACCCTGTACAAGGAAATTCATTGCAGCATATTTACAGTTTGCTATTTAATAAAAAAAAAAAAAATCCCAAACTTTATATGCCTGATAAAATGTTTTGATTAATTAAATTAAATGATATATCCATTGGGTAAACTAACCCAATGGATATATCTTGCAGTCATTAGAATGACCATGTTACCATGTAAAATTTTCCATTTAAAAATAAATATTAAAGTAGAAAAAATAGAACAGAACATTTTATATATGTTGTAGTTAATATAAAAATATGCATGCCTTTAACTAAAATTGGGAAATGAAGTTTCTAACAGTTCTCTGGTAGACCTGGGGTGAACATTTTTCTGTTTTAATTTCCATGAAAGTTATTGTAATAAACTCTTTGTTTTACTATTAAACCCACATTTTTATTAAAGAAGACAAGGGAAAGGAAGAGTGAGGACTGATCTTTGTAACATCACTTTTAGAGACACTGAGCAACATTTTATTTGAGGAAGGTTGGATCATAGTCTCCTGGGGGTACCTCTCAAACCTACGATGCACAGAACTGGATCTGAGTGGGCAACAGGTTGGGCTCTACCCACGAGCTCTGGTAACCATGGCATCAGTAGAGACGGATGCCCCTGATGGGAGGCAGTGACGGGGGCCACTTGAGAAAGTAACTCAGCAGGGCCAGATGGTATTTCTTCAAGAGCTCATTTATTTGGATCAACTAACATACGAAATGGCAGGTATTCTGACAAGGACACGCGATACCTCATTTCCTTGAAGATTAAGAAGCTACAAACATACTACCTGCCTCAGAGAGACTGTGGGAGGCAGAGGGAAGCTCACAGGTGGCCAAGTCATGAGCAGAGCCATCCTCTGGGATGACAGAGACAGAAAGAAGTTTGTCCTATGTTATGGGTTTGAATTGTGTCCCCCACTGAGAGCAAAGGATATGTTGAAGTCTTAAGCCCTAATATCTCAGAAGGTGACCTTACTTGGAAATGGGGTCATTGCAAATGTAATTTGTCAAGATGAGGTGAGGCCGTACCAGAATAGGCTGGGCCCTAATCCAATGTGAATGGTGTCCTTACAAAAAGAGGCAAGCCTGCCCGCCCACACAAACACACACAGAATGCCATGTGATGACAGGCACAGAGCTGGAGTGATACAGCTGCCAGCCACGGGGTGCTGAAGCTGGGAGTCACCAGAAGCCAGGAGGAGTTGAGGACGGATTCCCTTACAGGTTTCAGTGGGAGCGTGGCCCTGATCATGCCTTGATTTTAGACTTCTAGCCTCCAGAACTGTGAGACAAAATGTCTGTTGTTGTAAGCCACCCAGTTTGTGGAACTTTGTTATGGTAGTCCTAGCTAGAAGCTTAATATACTCTAAAACCTGCTGTGGCGAGCTGAGTGGATCTGAGCCGGTGACTTTTCCTTGGTGACCTTTTAGGTTGTTAGAACTGGTTACAGCTTGGGTCTTACTGATGTAGGGAACAAGTAGATATAACCTGGCAATTGGAGACCCACTTTAGGCTTAAGGTGGGCAGAACAGAAATGTGGGCTGTGAGCCAGGCACCCTCCCCCACATAGCAGCATGCAAGCATTTAATAGCAGAGGGCAGAAGTGGCCAGTGGGAAGAGGCAGGAGAATATGGTGCCTGGACAAAAATATGAAGTGTGTGGTGTATATAGTGACTCAGCACGTGGATCCGGGGTTCCAATCCCAGCTACACCACTGGATGTGCTGTGATGCTACAATAAGTTACTTACCCTCCCTGAGTCTCAGTTACCTTATCTATATAATGGAACTAATAATAGTTCCTACTCTGCAGGGTTATTGGGAGGAGTAAATGACTTAATACCTACAAAGTGCTTAGAATTGTACCCAGCACACAGTAGGTACATAATAAATATCACTTGCACACTTCCATGTACACTATCACATTTAATCTCTTACCGATTCCATGACGGAGATTTTATTAGGTTTATGAATAAAGATTCTGAGGGTTCAAAGGTTAAAGAATATGCCCAATGTCACAGAGAAAATAAAAACAGCGTGGCTTCCACATATATGTGTTAGCATACAGTCTTTGTTTTTCTCTTTCTGACTTCACTCTGTATGACAGACTCTAGGTCCATCCACCTCACTACAAATAACTCAATTTCATTTCTTTTTATGGCTGAGTAATATTCCATTGTGTGTGTGTGTGTGTGTGTGTGTGTGTATATATATATATATATATATAAAGGTTCTGATGAACCTAGGGGCAGGACAGGAATAAAGACGCAGGAACCTAGGGGCAGGACAGGAATAAAGACGCAGACGTAGAGAATGGGCTTGAGGACACAGGGAGGGGGAAGGGTAAGCTGGGACGAAGTGAGAGAGTAGCATGGACATATACACACTACCAAATGTAAAACAGATAGCTAGTGGGAAGCAGCTGCATAGCACAGGGAGATCAGCTCAGGGCTTTGTGACCACCTAGAGGGGTGGGATAGGGAGGGTGGGAGGGAGACGCAAGAGGGAGGAGATATGGGGATGTATGTATATGTATAGTTGATTCACTTCGTTATACAGCAGAAACTAACACACCATTGTAAAGCAATTATACTCCAATAAAGATGTTAAAAAAAATTTTTAAAAACAAAACAGCGTGGCGACTAGAGATACAACTGAGGCAAGAAGGAGGCAATGGAAGACAAAGCAGGACTATGAGATGTGAGTCAGGGACCTTCTAGTAAGTCGGTCAAACCGTGAGCTTGGTCGCCGGGCTCCTCATTTATTCGTCTTCCACTCCTTCACGGTACTCATGCCCTAAAGTCTGGTAGATCTGTCACCAATCTGCTGCGCAGCCTTCAGGAAGTTAGTCGCATTTCTTAATCAATACCAGGGTCCCTCAACCTCAGCACTACTGATACTTCAGACCAAATAAGTCTTTTTGTGGGAAGCTGTCCTGTGCATTGTAACGTATTTAGGAGCATTCCTGGCTTCTACACACTAGAGGCCAGTAGCACCCCTTCCCCAATCATGATGATCACAGATGTCTCCAGACATTTTCAAAT